CTAAGTGTTAATAGTTAAGGAAAATAAACTAAATGCTGTATAAAATGAGGAATAATGGAAACCTTACCAGTGAAGAAAGAAAGAACAGATAGGTTAGAAAGCTTAAACCTTATGGCATCCAACTGAAAATGAAGGTATTGCTATGAACCTATGCTTTGAAAATATAGTAGTAAAGACAGTTGCTGAGTTGTGTTGTGTTTATAAATAAGTATAATAGACAAGTAGTATGTATGCAAGGTATATATTGGCCAGCTCCATCCACTGAGATACAGAAGTGCTACATCTGTATTCTTGGCTTGTAAATATTCTTAACTAAAGAAATCCAGGGCTCCACAGGCACATGATAGATTTTAGGACTGGAAAGCACAGGTGCCAGATGAGCCTCGAATACTTTGCTAGCCTAGAAAGAAGTGGTTAAAGAATGTAGATGAGGTCATGCTGACAGCTGAGTGTTTGCTTAAAGGCACACTAGTTGATTCAAACTGAGCGGTGTGAACATTAAAACAGTTACAATAAAAAGGTCATAATCTACTGTATAAGACAGGAACCCACAATCTCATACTGCATACTGATATAAACAAAAAGATGAATATACCAATCAGTAGAGAAGAAAGCTTTCAGTTGCAGTGGAATGCAGACTGTAGAAGGATGGGAATAATTAACTCAGCATAGTCTAAATCCATTTGAAGACAGCAGGATCCACCCCTCGATGACTGTACTAGTGTAGAGGTTTTAGGATACTACTCCCAGGACAAGAGCAACAAGTGGCAAGGAGACACAGACCTTAAACACTCTTTTAAGGCCCTTAGCCACCTCTTTCCATTTTCTCAGTTTCCAGGTGTCTGTCTTCTTCCCTAGATTTTTCCATCACTCTCTCTAAGAAAGCATCTTCCACACACCCGAGATTTCCCACTTTCAGCTCAGAGTCTGAACATGATGGTTGATCACCAGAGCAAGGTGATTCCAATTCATGGAATTTTGTGATGAACTATGCCTTTAGTTCTTGGAAGCTGCCTATATAGCTTTGAGTGTAAATCCTAAATAATTCAACCAATTATACTACTGGACTGTTCATTCTCTACTACGGTAGCTGATGAAGGTTTTAAAGGCTTTAAAGTTGATAAAGAGCCAGGTAGAAGATATTTTAGGCCTTTTATGCTATGTGGTCCTGCTGAAACTACTCACTCAGCCTTGTCATTGAGCTTTAAAAGCAGGCAATAGTACAATGAGCTTGACTGAGTGTCATGAAACACAAGAACTTAATAGAACACTATAGTGTGTTGGTCTTACTTTCACTCTTCTCCATTTAAAAATGCAAACTTATTTTAGTGTGTGGACTGTAAAAAAGTGAACACTGGTCTGGGTTGTATAAAAGTGAACACTGGTCTGGGCTGTATAAAAGTGAACACTGGTCTAGATCTGGCCTTCTTGCTATAGTTGTTGATTTCTTCTTGAAGACAGTCAGAACCCAGCTTTTTACAGGTTTCTAGAATTTTGAATTATTTCTTTTATAAATGGCATACTTTTGTGCATTTATTATAGTCTTTGTAGGTATTGCTAAGAATCAGTATTCTTATGCATCCATAATCTAGGTTATGGTGACCTCTTGAAGAGAATAAATGTGTATTTACCTTCCTTTTAGGTCCCACAGAGCCTCAATGCTCAGACTATTTTAGGAGAATGAAACTGGTGGGGAGAATAAGACTAAATAGATTAATGGTCGTGTCTTAGATTGCTGTTACTACAAGCACGCCTTTGCTCCTTGGACAGCTATGACTTTGGTGACTGATGTTTTTTAATTATGTGTGACCAGTCTCTTTTTTCTTACTACCTTTGTTTAACCCTCCAATTGCTCCCAAGATAGTTGTTTTAGACTCGCCCTATATAAATGAAGCAGAGTCTCAGCAGGACAACTGCGGTTTTTAAAAGACATGACCAATCTTGTCAACTTGATAAGATTTAGAATCACCATAAAAATGATCCCCTGGGCATGTCTGTGAGAGCTGTTTTAGATGTGATTAATTGAAACCAATTATGGGAATGAATATGGGAGATACCATTTCCTGGCCTGGACTCTCCGATTAAAGAAAAAGGAGGGAAGGAATAGAGTGTCTGCTTTCACTTCTCTCTGCTTCCTGACCTTGGATGTGAGGTCCTCAACTACTTCCACATTCTGCTGTGATGACTTCCCACCACACTGGACTGCAAGTCAAAATAACCCCTTCCTCAAGCCACACTGTCAAGTATTTTTGTTGAAGAAACGAACAACTAAAATAGACATGTATTGCATATATAATTTTAGCTACCTTCAAGGTTGCCAGGAAAAGTGCAGGCCAGTTAGGTATGGAGTTAAATGCTCTGTAATCCCAGAAACTAGGGAGACCAAGTCAGCAAGTCTGAGAGTTTGAGGCAGCCTGGGCTAACAATAAACACTGGTAATATGCTTTTCGTAAATATTTTTAAAGACTTTCAAAAATCAATAAACATTTTTTTCTATACTTAATAGATCATATAGTTCACAGGATAAAATGTCATTTGGAAACTTAACATGTTCATTATCTTTATCATTGTAGCATCCTATTCTCGTTTAGATTTTACTAATTCTGTACAGTAATTCTATGAAATATGTAACAGAGTCAAAACTGTTTCAAAGGATAAACTTCAAGGACAAAAAGAAAAAAAAAGGTTCAAGATATGCCTGGTTCTTATCTTTCCAATGTAATCTTTTACCTCAGATGATTGAGAAGAGAAGGATTGTTCTTCCAGCTATGACCGAACCCAGGGAATCGAAGGATATTTTGAGTTTTCTGGTTACAATGCTTAAACTCGTTATATTACCAGGCCATTTGCAAAAAGCCCAGTTGTTTTCCCCTTCGCACACAGTGCCTTCATAGTCTTCCCAGTGGCTAGGTGAGATGATCCCATGAAGCCTCACTTCCACAACATGCCTACACAATGTCATTAGGCCCAAGTACTGGCATTCCTCTAGCTCGAGTTGGGAAGTCCCTAGAGAAAGATTTAATTACCTGACTAGAACCACTTGATGTGGTAAAAGTAGTCACTCAGAAAGGGATGCTGAGCGAACAATGTCTGAAGTGGGCAATAGCCATCTGCAAAGGAGGAACAGGGAAATAAATTAACTTTTCCTAGGCTGCCTTTTGAGCTGGTAGAGGACAAACAGAAACTAATTGTTTAGGTCTGTTCCTTTTGGGGTAGTGTAACTATAGTTTTTTTTTTTTTTTTTCCCCCCCAGGCCTACCAGCTGTATCATTCCAGCTTGTTGGTGATACAGGGAAAAGCTCTCTGTGCAAGGTCGGGTTAACCAAAAACTATGTCTATGTTCTGCATACTCTGTGGCCTTGATACTCCTAGAAATTCCCCAACCATAAGCACAGCTGGCCCTAACTATGAACTCCGCTTGGGACCAATCAAATTAAAGGTCAGCTAGAACTGCTATATCTAATTAACAGAAATACCTGGAGTCAGAGGTGACTACTCTCTTCTCCTGCACTGCTGCACAGCCCCCATGTGAACTAATTGCTTTTATAAACTAACTCTGAGAAACACTCAGTGTCCCAGTTTGGCTCCTGAGTCCACTCTGTTTTCCTAACCAAGAATCGTCTTGGGTGAGGTCTGAGTGGTCTGTGCAGCCCCCTCTGGACCCTAACACCAATGTCTCCTGGCCTTGTGTAATGCCTCTGTTTTTACCTATATAACTATGTTGTTTCCTTGGTATATATAGCCTTATGTCACTGTCTTATTTTTTAGAGCTTCACAGGCATTTTGAATCAGAATTTACTTTGGAAGTGGATCTTCAGCTGGGCAGTGAGGGCTCATGCCTTTAACCCCAGCACTCAGGAGGCAAAAGTTGGTGGATCTCTGCTACTTCAAGGCCAGCCTGGTATACAGAATGAGTCCCAGGACAGCCAGGGCTACACAGAGAAACCCTGTCTCAAAAAGCAAAACAAAGAACAAACAAACCAGAAAAAAGTGGACCTTCAAAAAGAATAGAAAACATAAATACATCTGTGTTAAGAGGCCATTCTGTTTTCTTCCAGGATTTATACCTTACTTTTCTGTAACTGGTATAAATTGATTGTAAAAGTTGAACTTTCTACAAGCAGATGGACTGATTTGGTAGAACGAGTACTTGAGAGGTCGCCAGCTGTGACAGATCACTAGAAATGGCTTAAATTCTGGGCCTCAGCAGTTCCCTGGCTTGCAGAAGGGGATGGTATCGTTGCATTATTTTGGTGTAGAGCAAAGAGTAGGCAGAATGCTTCTAAGATACAAAATTACATGTAAATGTGAATATTTCATTTATTTGAAAACTGTTTTCCCCATGACGGCCACGTAATAGTAGAAACACGTGGAAACAGCTATGTGAATAGCCTCTTGGAAAACGTGAATAGATTTTTCTGAATCATCCAAACTGGAAACATGAAGATCCACAAAGAGCAAGGGTAAAGGGGCTTCCGAGTTTTTCTCAAAGGTTCCTGATGAACTCATTTTGCATACATACATATAGAGAGAATGTTTTCTTGTTTGTTTTTCACATCTGCTGTTGTGTAGGAAACTTTCTTTTTGAAACAAGAAAGTAACAAAGTGAAAAGGATGTGATCACTTTCTTCAGTGTATTGCTGGCCGGGCCAGGACGCCGCCTGCGGTCGCATCGCCACCTGCAGGACATCGCAGGACCCGCAGCGTCGACAGCATCTCAGGCTGGAAGGACAGACTTCGAGTCTCTCTTGCCCAGCTCGCCCGTGGTGGGACAAACGACCGTCACCTGGGCAAAGGCCCCTGGTGCCTGCGAGGCGGGGCGGGGCTCCCACGGTGAGTGGGACCTCACCCGGTGGGAGACCTCGCCCCCTCGAGGTGGGCGGAGCCGCTGGAAGAGGCGGGGCTCCGCTGTGAGGCCCGACCTCTGGGGGCGTGACCAAGTGAGGAGCTGCGCGTGTGGGCGTGACCCCGCCCTGCGACGCCCTGAAGTGGGTGGGGTTACAGCTAGAAACTGCTCGCTTAACTGGCTCCTCTTGCCGGAACTTCCTGTGTTCCGAGCGTGTGGATGGCGTCGCCGGGAACCTGAGCCGCCGCGTGAGCTTGCAAAGGTGGTGAGAAGGTAATGAGGTCCTCAGAGCGCCGGGGTTAAAAGCTGGGGGCCCAGACAGGGCACGATGGGTTTTCCGGCCGCGGCGACTCCGAGGCCTCGGTTCTGCTGACTTCTCCGCAGGCTGCCTAGCCCTCGTGGGCCCCTGCCCGAAACCCTGCGGCCACCAACCCCTTGCACATTCTTTGTGTTTTAACTGTGTCTTCATCACAGCTTTCAAGCTTTTTTCAGTTAGACTGTTGATCTCGGGCCTGTGTTTCCAGCTTAGTAAGCGTCTCTCTTGTCATTCGAGTCTGTAACCCTTATCTGTGTATACATGTTGATGTTAATATTTGTGCACATAAAATACCTTGCTTACGTGTGTGTACTTAAATACTTACCGATTCTTTATTCAACTTTAGTAACTGAGATGAGAGGTTAGATGGGGGTTGGATTTTAAATAACATAAGTTGAATAGCTTTGTTTTTTCTCCAGTAATCGTGTATTTTTTTACTATTCATTATATTTTTAAACAGAAGTACTGTTAGGCTTCAAGAGTTTACATATATAGTATATGCATATTAAGGCTATATTGGTGGAAGTTTTAGCCAAGCTGTAAAATCTGAGCAAAAGAAAGAGAAGAAACGACAGATACTAGGCTAGAGTCAAGAGTACCAAAGATATGACAGACCAAGGCACAGTGCTCCGTATGTTAGGAAAACCATTGATGTTAATAAACTTCAGGACACTTTATCATATCATAAAAGATTGCCACTGTGTGCAGCTGGCTTGTGCAAAAAAAGCCAGATAAGTATCATAGTCTTTGGGCCTCAGTTACAGCAGAAAAGCAGCCAAAAACATGTAGTGGAATGAAGCTAGTTATGCTTCAGTAAATACTTATGATCTAATTAAACAGAAGTAGAAAGTGCAGCAGTAGGCAATATATTTTTTTTCCATGAGAAGCGGTAGGACATACGAACCCTGGTCTAACTTGTATAGTTTTTGCATGCTACTTTGCATCACGTTTTAAATCAGTAAGCGGGGTGTAGTAGTATCTACCACAAAGGGTTGTGGTGAGAAATAACTTTGTAAAACCACAGAAAACCTTAGTTCAGTGACTGTATGTACAGCAAAAGCTCAGTAAGTAAACTATTGATATGAAAAATTGTTTCTGCCATGAATTCTTCAACAGGTTTAACACAAGCTTTTAAGGAAGAAGTTAGAGGCTTAAGTCTGTATTTAGCTACAGTGGGGTGGGGAAGCTTTCAGGCTAAAAATCATTTGTACAGAAATGTAAGGGAAATTGTTAAACGGAATATGAGGGAAGTAGGAAGTAAAAGATTAAGGAATGTTTTTGACAGGCAGTACTAAAGAAAAGAAATAGAGTAAAAAATGAGGAGAAAATAACAAGTATATAGTATACCTAATATACAGTACCAGGTAACAGTGTATGAACTGCGGAGTTGTCCCTTTCTATTATAAGATGCTGCAGACAAAGAGTTGTTGGTTTGTGTGTGTTGATACCAAGACTTGGTGTTAGGGATGGAGAAAAGATTGATATGTGTTCCTCATTCACACAGCAAAATGTCTAAGAGTGTAAGACATGGGATTTATGTAACAACTTTTAAAATAATCAGAACAGAACTAAGATCAACTTTAAAAATTTAAATTGAGTAGCTGGGTGGTGGTGGCACATGTCTTTAATCCTAGCACTTGAGAGTCTGATGTCTGTGAGTTCTGAGACCATACTGGTCTACTAAGTGAGTTCCAGGAGCGCCAGAGAAATCCTGCCTAGAAAAACCAAAACAAACAAATAAATAGAAACAAATTAAACTGATTTTTGGTTAAAAAAATAAGCGGTTTAACTGAACCCACTTCTTTTCTAGACAATGGCCAAGAACAAATTGAAAGGGCAGAAGTCCAGGAATGTATTTCACATAGCCAACCAAAAAACCTTCAAGGTTAAAAACAAGGCAAAACCAGTTACTACTAATCTTAAGAAGGTGAGTACTTAAGTATTGTGATTTTATTGTTTATAGGTAAAATGTAGTGAAAGTGCTGAACAATGAGGTTTTGTTACTTAAACCAGAATTTTTTAGCCTTTCTTACTAGGAGAGATTATTTTTAAATTGTAAGATAAAGAACATCCCTTTTAAAATACAAGTTTAAGAGGTGGTAAGGACAAACAATCCCCCCTCCCAAGTACACAAATATGAGGCCCCATACAGCAGCCTACTAGCTGTATGAGACCATAGAAATACTTTTAAGACATTATAAAGGACGTTTCTCAGTAGTTTACTCTGAATTATATCAAGATTCCACTAGTAAAGATGTACAGTCAGCTAGCAGCTTGGTAGCTAGTATTTTGGAACCTAGAAGCCTATAAAATGAAAATTTGGTTGAAATAGAAAGTTTGTTTCCTTCATTCTTCAGAATAGGTGCTGGAAAGATGGCTTAGCATTAAGAGCATTTACTGCTTTTGCACAGGACCAAGGTTATGAGCCATGGGGGCCTCACACTTGACTACCACTCCAACTGTGTGGGCTCCGATACCCTTTTATGGCCCCTGTGGCACCCTGCATGTATATGGTGCACATAACTTTATGCAGGTATGCACACATACAGGTAAAAGTCATCTTTGTTTCTTCTCATGATTAAGTGTATTTTATATATTCCTAGAATGTTTCCTACCTTAAAAAGTGAGCCAACTCTCAAGGATGTAATCTTTGTCATAACAGTCCATTAAAAACTGACTTTTGCCGGGGCAGTGGATCACACACACCTAGTAATACTAGCACTTGGGAGGCAGAGGTAGGCAGAGATATCTGTTGAGTTTGAGGTCTGGTCTACAAGGTCAGCCAGGGCTGTTAACACAAAGAAATCCTGTCTCAAAAACCAAAACCAAAGTAACCTAAACCAAAAAACTTGACTTTTGTATCTTTTCAAGAACTGGCATACACTTTCTAAAGCAGATTTGTGATTTTGTAATTATAAAGGTAGTAAAGCTTGAAAAACTGAAAGTCTGGAGTTTCCCACAGGGTTGCCGATATAATTGCAAAGACCTAAATGAAAAGGCGCTAATACTACAGAGCTGGGAAATCCTGGGTGCAGCATCTTCTAAGACTATTCCTCACCCCCAAATGAAGAAAGAGTATTTATATAAGGAAGATTACTTTTTTGAGCTATGAGGTACTACAACTTTTACATAAGCAGATATTATCAGAGAAAGGATATATCTAAGTAGGTATAGATATACTCTAGTTGGAATTAGTATCAAGGAATTAGAAAGTGCCTTTGTTACAATTGGTGTAAATGAGGGATTGAAATTTGTGATAATGAATTAAATGAAACTAGCTAGCCAGTTGAGTTTAATCAGCATAAATCTTGACTCAGAATGGGTCACCTGTGTTTAGTCAGGTTATCACGCAAATTCTGTCAAGGGATTGGGGGAGAAAGAAAAGTGATTGGATATTAGTGTGGAATACACACTAGTGAAGGAAATAAGGAGAGCTGATGATTGGAAAGTTTTTGAGTGAATTTCTATGACTAGAACAAGTGAACTGTAAGTTGAAGGTATTTCATAGGAGCAGGGGGTAGAGGTCGATTGTGAAAAATATCCCGCAGATCAGGACTTTTTGACAAAGATGCCATCTGTTAGACTGGCTTTGTTGAACTCACTGAACAGTGACTCTACATGGAGTGGTCAAACTCAATATTTTGAGTTCTTTGACAAAGCAGCAAATAACTGGTGTTTCTGGGTAACAATAATCAGGGAGGAGTATTGGTGTTTTCATGAAGACTGTAGTACAAAGGAGCCTAGAGCTTTTAAGGAGAAACAGTATTTGATGCACCGTCTCTTCTCTTAGAGTCAAGATTGGGGTATCCATTGAGAGAAGGTGGTCCAGAAAAGGGCTCAAAGAATTTACTATTCTTATTTTATATAAATAAGAGTTAAGCACCATAGTCAGGACTTGTCACAGTAAAAAAAAAATATTTCCCTTAATGTGTATCATTTACCACTTCTGCGTAGGCTTGCAGAGGCCAGAAAAGGGTATCAGATCTCTACAGATGAAGTTAGTAGTAGTTGTGGGCTGCATGAGGTGGTGCTGAAAACTTGGTCCCAAGCCTTCTTTCCAGTCCCAGATCACATATTTTGATCAGCTTATGTCAATAAAATCTTAAGTATGAGGTAAATCCATTTAATTATTATAAGCCTACTTTATCACTAAATTTCCCAATAAGACAACAGTAGTTTTAGCATGAATTATTAGTTTGGTAGAGTCAAGAGTTTATAGACTTTTCTTTTTAGAAAACTTTTTTCTTTTTTTAAATGTGTGTCTGTGCTGCATGTATGACATATACAGGAGACGGGTGTCATAGGTCAGAGGATCAAACTCAGGCGGTCCAGTTTGCATAGCAAATACCTTTAACTGCCAAGACATCTAGGCAGCCCAGTACTTAATTTTTTTATGCTTAACAAGATTAAAACATGAGAACATTTTACCTTTAATAGTTATGAAATTTGGATGACTTTTTTTTTTTACAGATAAACATTATAAATGATGAAAAAGTCAATAGAATGAACAGAGCTTTTGTAAATATACAGAAAGAACTTGCAAACTTTTCAAAAAGCCTTTCTCTTACATATGTGCAGAAAGAGCTGGTAAGTAGAACTTTGCTTTCATGACTGGTACTGGAGGCCTTGCTGGCAATAAGGAGATGCACCCTCTATGGAATCTCAGACATGTAAAAGCCTATTATTTATTGATTATTTCACAGAAGTAGTTTTTTGGGTGAAACAAGTTCCTCATACCAGATCCCCTAATGAATGTGTTTTGAAGGAAATCTTCACACCCCTGCAACTTTAGTCCTTATTGCATAATGTTTGCATTACCAGGTGTGCCAGAGCCATCTTTTGAAAAAAGTCACGCAAAGGCTATAAAAAAGCTCCCTCAGAAAACCTACTGTATAAATGATAGAAAACAATCACCATTTTTCACAAGTATTTCTTCAAGGTCTAAGTACTTCTGTTAAAGAAGTACTTATTCTTTCTGATGTTTACTCTAGATAGAATAATTCTACTAGAATTCCACTGCAGTAATCTATACTTGGCATTTTGTATATATAGCACATTCAGTCAGTAATATAGATTTTAATATATTCAGGTCTAAATATAGAATGCATTATATTTCTAAAGATAACAGGTAAATTAGAGGAATTAAACTAGATAAAAGTTTATATTCAAGGAAGTTTGGTTTGCTGCTACTTAGGTTGTTTATAACATCTTTCCTTTTGATTTCTCAGAAGCACCATGAAAATGAACCAGCTAATGTTGACGAAGCAACACGACTAATGGCTCAGTTGTAATAAAGTGACAGTGTATCATATTCCCCCAAAGATCAATAAATTGAGTATTTCATACTTTATTTTTTAAATCTTGTTAATGTACAAGCATTGGCACATTTTAAAAACAAACTACATAAACAGATCTTTCCTATACTCTAGGAAAGTTTGGAATGTCAGAAGTCAACAAACTGATAGACTTAAAGTGCTAAAACAGAAGGCACTTCACAAAATCTGTTCACTCAACAGTGACATCCTTCACTTTATATGTGGCAGTGAATGTCTTTTTGAAGGACACATGAAAACAACATCGTGGCAGTAAAAAACGTAAGACAAGTAAGTGATCTGGGCAACATTAACTTTCAGGAGAGGGGCTACAGAAGAATCCAGTTTTGAAAGAAACAGAGTATAGTCATCGGAGGGCATGCTGGTACACAGTTTATCATTGCCCCAGAAGCAGTCAGAGCCTTTCAAGTTTTGTGAAGTCAAAAATAAAATGTTAGGGAAGAACACTCCAGAATCGGTGAACTAAAAAGGAGTTACGTTCATAATTTTAAATACATAGGTTATGAAGAATTCTAAAATGTTTACAGTTAGAGGTAGATAACAGTCCCAGGTTTCCATGGAATCTAATAATTTAGTATCTGAACATCAAACAGATCACAAACTCCTTCATTATCATCTAAATTAAAGTTGTAGTCATCTGCTGGGGTAGGAGAGAGCCGTAAGAGAGGAAACACTGCAAAGGAAAAACAGAATCATTGTCACAGTTGGTTTCTACATATGGATTATGATTTCTCACAAATTCTGAATCCCAAAACTCACACAAAAGCCCAGAAAAAAAATATTAATTAGCATATTATAGACAATTTATTTTTAATAATTATTTCATAAGACACCCTGGCTAGTGTTAGTAATAGCTCAGTGATTCAGGTGGGCAGCTTGAAATTGCCTGTGGTGGGAGTACATATAAAACTGTACTGATTGTGACATGCTACTCAATTACTCCTGGGCCAGTGTGCTAATAGTTTTCAATAAAATTGCTAAGTATTCCTTATGTTACTTTCCCTCAAGATGCAAGTAAATCTAAATTCTAAAAGATGTCTGTATCTTACTATAGTATTGAGTTACATGGCATTTAAACTCTAGGATAGTGATGTATATCAGCAGTAAAATTTTTAGCTACTTACCATCAGAAGACATCAGTTCATCAATGATGTCTCCGCTAATAGATCCTGTTGGAAATAGAAATTTGATAGGGTAATTATGTTTCAGTATTCATAGTCACATCACTAGTTTGATGGGTAGAAGAGAGCTAAAAGTACTAGAACATTGTGAAAGACAATTTTCATGACTACCTACTTTCTTGGCATTAACTTTAAACTTCCAAACTGATGATACAGAGGCAAAGCCTCCCCACTCTCCTAAAACTGAGTCTGCCACAAGTATGAGATAATTCAGATCATTCAACACTTCATTTCTCCTGATTGTTATCTCTGTATTCTCCTTATCTTATACATCCAAATTCACTTTGCCTAAACAATATTTCTCATATCTGCTTATTACTTCTCTTTCCTATCCCGTTAGTACCCCATTCTAGCCTTAATGTTCCCTCAGCTGCAGTGAATACAAACATTAGTCTTTAGTCTGATGCTTCTAAAGTGTTCTCTTCTGCTTGTCACAGCACACTGTTTCCAAGTTCCCCTACCCTCATGGTCACCACTGTATGCTCTAGCTTCTACTTTCCCACGTACAGATCTTAGCTGGTTTATTAGCTAGCATTTTCACCTGATACCAAAATGTCTAATGTGGCCCCAAGACATTTCTTTATACCAAATGATACACACAAAGTACTCAATTCTCTAATTTTTTGTTTGCCTGTTTTTAATCCTGTGGAAGTCAAAGTACCAACTGGATTTAAGCTAAAGCATATACAGTTTGTTTACCTTATATGTCCCAATTAAATTGAAATAAATCGGTACTTTCTTAAAGACAATACTTTATCTTGAGCATCTCTGTAGCTATAGCATAAAAATACTTGCAGAAAGAAGTGAGACATATAAGCACCACAAACTTAACCCATGTCTTTAGGCTTTTCACTGCTACTGACTGTGAAATCTCAGAGTGGAAGCAATGGGGTATACCCACTCTAACAAATAAAACAGATTATGATATTTGTATTTGCTCAGACATGCACACACATGCAAATAAACACAAGTGTGTCTAGTAATATAGAAACAGAAGGATGTGCTGTAGAATCATTCTTATATGTATTCTGGTGGCAGGCATATAGACTATTGAAGATATTAAATTTAAACATGAGGTGGGATTATTTTGCCTCAGATATTAGAACTGACAAATTCAGAACAGCTCTGATCCATTTTATATAATACTCATTTTAACCAGAAATTTCTACACCAAAGGCTTTCTACCAACCTGAAGGGATTCCTGTAGCTGGTGTCTGCTGGAAACTCAGGCTTCTTTCAGAAGCATGCTGCTCAGGCAGGTTCTGAGCAGCCGTGGTGGATTTCTCTGGAGTCATTGATGTTGACTGGGAGGAAGGCTGTGTGAGGTCATCAGGTGGGGGGACAGGAAAAACCACTGGCTTGGAAGAACTGGACTCTTTATTTATAAGCAGCACATGGATAGGTCCTGAGTGACTCTTTAAATTTATCTGGTATTTCTTTTGTCCATTCTGACCCTTTGAAGTAATTGGGTATAAACAAATGAGCGTTACCACTGCTGGCTAACTTGAAACAGGCAGTTATTAAGATCTAACAACTAAAATCACATGACAAAATCATTTGGTGGCAACACAGGAAAAACGACTTAAGTAGAATGGAACTACCAAGGTCTGTAAGGCACTTGCCCCTAAAAGGTAATCTTTGTTCAAATGAGGATTATAAAAATAGGAAGTTTTAGAATTCTAAACAGTCTGTCTGGACCTTTTTTCCTTCCCTTCCACTTCTTTCCTGGCCCTCACTTTCATATTTACTTGATAGAGTTTCACTATGTTGTCCAGGTTGGCTTCAAACCTCTGTCTCTCACATGCTGGGTGACTACTACACAGGCACATCACCATCCACTTCACTGTAATGTTACCTGGTGGTACTCGGTAATGTTCTGTAGTCTCCACATGCATGGACTCCAGTCTTTGGAGTAAGCTACCACAACTGTGGTAATCTCAACTTCCTGTATGAATTTACAAATTTTACAAACCAATTTCCACCCATCAAGCCAAAGACTACTGACTTGATTTCCTACATAGATTAAAGAAAAAAAAAAAAATCTTCTTTTCAAAAAGATGATTTACTTCTTTATCACAAACGAAAACTTTTCTACCCATCAAGCCAAAGACTACTGACTTGATTTCCTATATAGATTTAAAAAAATATTTTTAAAAAGGTATTTAACTTCTTGAAGTTTAAAAATATAAATTCCTAAATCCTAAAAGAATAGGGGAGAAGGGAAGTACAGATTCATTCAGCCACTTTTACCAAAGTATTGAAGATGTCCAAATCCAGGTATCAATGCTTTCAGCTAAATCTTAATAGCAATTATTAAAAGGTGTTCATACTCTATTCTTGTTTGGCTCAAGAAAATACATCTGTCTCTCTTAAGACAGTAGTTCTACTTTTTTCACTTGTATAACAGCTATGCTACATACCATTTCTGGAATAGGTACTTCCAGCTGTGTACCAGAAGGTGCCTGAATGGCCAACAGTGTATCACCTGGCAAAATAAATAAATACTTAACAACTGTAGGAATGCTGTAGATCATAACAGATGTGGTAAGAATGGGAGATCTGGAATCAGAGGTGTGGATTTAGTCCCAGGCTACCAAATATAGTAGTGCATGTTTTAAATCTCAACATTTTTGGCAGGTGAAGGCAGAGAAATTAAGAATTTCAAGTTAGACTTTGCTAAACAGTGCGTTCTAGGCCAGCACAGGTTACCTGAGAATTTATCTCCAGACTACAACTGCAAAAAGAGAGGACAGAGGAGGAGGTGTAGCTCGACTGGTAGAGTGCCAGCCTACTAAGAAGGCCTGGGCTCTATTCCCAACACCACAAGTGCAAAGGGGAAGAGACAGAAGGGATCAGAAGGTCATCCTGGGCTACCCCATGAGTTTGAGGCCAACCTGAGACCTGAGACCCTGTCTTAAAACCAAAAACCAAAACCTAGGGCAGATGACATCAGCTTCAATAAAATGAAGGTCATAACAACATGTCTTGGACATTAAATGAGGACATATGCTTTTAGGTCACAAAAGAGTCACAGTCTCAGCTGCTAGTCTCACTGAAAAATTTTGCTCCTTTTACTTGGTGTTCTGTAAAATCTGAAACTGTACAACCTTTTTATTTTCCTATTAATACTGTTTACTTAAAGCAGTCAAACCATTTAAACAAGAGGACACTAGAGACTAGGTATGATATGTTAACATGTTACCCTTAAGTAAATTTATTTTTGAAGCCATATTTTACAACAGAGCTTTTATTGCAACTTCAGATTAATAAAGCTCTCCCCAAATTTCATAAGAATTATACTGGTAATGTAGGAAAAGACCATATACATTTCCAGCAGTTTTTATGTTTGCATTCAAAAGATAAGTTGACAAATTGATTACTCTGTGGGCAATACGTATGCTGTCCTTTTAGTAAACATGCATGATGTAAATGTGTACAAAGTTTTATTTTACAATTTCTCCTTCACTTTAGTTAATACGTCACATTGTCACTGCAAGCAGTAAACATGAGGTGCAGAAGATGGAACAGGATTAGGAATAAGATTTCTTGTTTCACCTGAGACTAGTACCTGCTGTACAGTTTAATGAAACAATGCTGTGTTTAAAGTTCCTATGGTCCAGTTTAAATCTTGTTACTGACTCTGTGACCTTGAAAAGGCTACTGAATCCTAATGATTTAATTTCCTCTTCCCTTGGCTCCTCTGCCCTCCCACACATGAAGAAAAAGCTGTGAAAAAGGTTACTGCTATGGAACACATCACTGCAGAGAAAGATAAAATAGTTCTAACTCCTGAAAATACTGACAGCCTAAATGTATGGGGAACTGTGAGACTCTACAGTCAACAGATTCTTCAAAGGAAGAATGTAGCCAGGTGGTAGTGGCCCATGTCTTCAATCCTAGCTGTGAATCTGAGTTAGAGGCCAGCCTGGTCTACACAGAAAAACCCTGTCTCCAAAACTTAAGTAAATACGGATAAAAAGAATGTAAGAAAAGGCTGACAGTGCTTACCATTAAAGCAAGTGCAGATGTCTTCGTGTGTTACATAGGAAAACGTACTGTCGTAAGAGTTAAGGAACATTTACATCAAGCTCTACACACGTAATAAACAGAAAGGCCAAACTGAAATCCAGTAAATGAAGGTGCTGCAACATGGTCAAACAAAAAGTATAATTCTTTAAAATGACAAAGGTCTGCAGGCAGAATTTATACATTTTGCTTAATAAGTAGCCACCCTGATTTCTGATATCTGAGGACTCTGGGGTATAATGTAAAATGGTACATACAGTACAGAGCTGTGTACAGAGACTGGGGAGAGAAGAAAGTCACTGTGGTGGAGAACAGCTTATCTCTTATGAGTTGAATGAGTTGAGGCTTTGGAAAACCAAATATATTACACTCATAGCTCCTAGAGACAAAAGTATCACAGGAAATAAAACAGTGTTGTTAGAAGGCAAGAGAAAACCTTCGTTAAGGTCTTCATATAAAAAGCTAAGTGGGGAAGAAGAAACACTTCAGAATTGGTTAGTTTGAATAATCTTGACCAACTCTTTCCTATAGGATCCCAGGTTGCCTGGCCCTTGGATGAGGAAGACTCATTCTAGGTCTTGCCTCCTGGGTGTGTGGGCCAGATGGAAGTGGATGTGGTCCAGGACTGAATAATCTACTACAATTCTGCTCCTGGCTGAGCCCTTGCCATTTCTAAGAATTGGTTAAGTTATAGTATAGAAACTTGGGCATGGCTGAAATCATGTAAAACTATAAAGCAGGGCAACAAATTCTAGATCACTTAAGTGGTTTCTGAATCTTCAGGTTCCACAGAACACACCTTGAAAATCCCCACTGTTCTCACAGGATTATGGAACTCTGACCTCCACATAAATAACAAGTAAGATGGCATGAGGAATGCACTGTATACATCATTCAAATATTTCGGTGAGTTAGGAAAAATAAACTGCAAAGTTTCCATCAAAGTATAGGTAAACACACACAAAATAAATCTCCAAGGTCTCTGAACATAGACAGTGATGTGTAAGGAACACATAGACCATTTATCACTAATATCCCCTTATGTAAGAGAAAGCATTCTTGGGCTAATATTAGGCAGAAGCATCATGAATTACAAATGTATGATACTCCTTTAAACTCAAATTAATTTTTCAAAACTGAAAGCTGCAGAGTTTTTATACTGCCCCAGAAGTGGACATAATTATTTAAAGAACTTTATATACTTAGCAAATACTATCATGTCAGTTGGTGCACTGAAAGTGCACAACATTACAACACAAGAATGTTAAAATACTATACTCCTTAAAATGATAGTATTTTAAAAATAGTGTAAATCGTTAGAAAATTATAAAATGCTATTTTCATTTGTAAAACTTAACTGCATAAGCACCAGATAACTAACCTAAGGAAAACTGAATATATATATATACATATGTGTATATATATATTCTACAGAACACACCTGCAGCTATGATATAACTTACTCAGAAGGATATCTGTTATTAATGGAGTCTTCCATCACATTTTTGATGCTTTGCTGTAGCCACAACTTCTGCTGGTCGAGTTCTTTTTCCTTCAATTCTAGATCTTCAATTTCAGCTTTAAGAAATCTTAATCTATCTATAACTTCTTTAGTATTACAGCCAGCACCTACACCCCTTTAAAGGCATGAAAATAAATACCCACATGATCAGACACCCATTTAATATCATCTAATTTTTCTAGTAATAAAACTGACTTATAGATTAATCGAAATGAGTTTACACTCTTCGGAAATCTGGTACCTTCACATAGACATGCATGCAGGCAAAATACCAAATGCACATAAAGAAATAAGTCAAACCAGAGCTAAGTAGCTAAATTTAACATTCTCCTAATACACAATGAAGTGCTGGCAAAGTTAGCCATAAACTTCTGGTATTAAGGCAGAATTCTAACAAAAAATAAGGCCAAAACAAGTATTCTCAGAACAGAGAATATCTGACATAAGCAAGCAACCAAGTCATAGTAATACATGCAACAGTGGAGAGAGCAAGGAAACATCCAACACAATGACAGGCATATCCAAAGAGCTCTGTCCTGAGGCAGCGAGGTCTGGTGTGATTAAAGGACTAAAACTGAACATTTGGGAGAAAAAAAAAAAAAGTCTGAAGTTTGATTTCTATCAAATACATTTTTTTTGCATAAAGTTTATGACTTACTTCCACTGGATACTGTTCTTAGATTTTTTTTCAATTAGATCAATTCCTTCTAAGACATTGGTGATATCATAAATTCTTCGCTTTTGCCTCACAGCCAAAGTATCTGCAGCCTGTTTAGGACAAAAAGAACAAAGAAAGTATAGTCTATGTTTATATTTTAAAGTCAAAGAGTATTGTCTGTCAAGGTAACACCAGGAGAATCTAATCCAAAATCCAATACACTCATTGTCTTGAGAGTAAGTAGATATATTTGAAGCATTCCCCAGTCTTTGCAATACCAAAGAAATTACTCCACTTAAACTAGCAGATGTTGGAGAGAAGAAAAGAAGTCAAAACATAGGCCCACAAAAACACAACAACAACAACAACAAAAAAAAAACCACAGTAGTAACTGCCACTTTATGTACTAAGTAGAGGAAAACCTACGAATTGTCAATTTTTTCAGAAGAATCTCATCAAAAGACAGCCTTACTCTTATGTACCTGGGCCTTTTGGAAATTAAGGAATAAGGGGAGTCAGAAATATACAAATAATAAACCTACTTAATATTAGTATGCATTCTAAAAGTTCATAATAAAGCATGGATGAATTACTCCATCCCAACATCATTAAATCAATTAAAAAAAATCTGTAACACAGTGGTCATTCTAGAAGTGATTTCAAAAAGCATGGTGGTTCCTTTCCTAGAAGTCTAGAGAAGGTAAGAAACTGGTAGCATACAGAAACAATGGAAGTCAGGAATTTATCCTTGAAGATTACTGAACATGAAGAATATAGGCCATGGAGGAGAGGCCAAAGACATAAGGGAAGCACAGGCTGAGATCAATTTGACTGTCTTCAGGAACAGGTGGAATCTGTAAGTTCCATCTAACATGGGAACAAAGTGTGTGAAAAATGAAGAGCAACTTGACACTAACACAGTAGAGCATGCATGCATGAATAGTGGAATCCAAAGGAAGGAAGTGTAAGAAAAAGTTTGAACCTGTCATGCACTGTAGTGAGACAAGTCTCAGAGAAGTTCACTGATCACCTTGGACAGAAGTTTTTGGCAGGGGAGGGAGAATCTCATGGAGAAATTTTAAGAACAGAAGGAAAGCCAGCATAGACAATGTCTTTTAAGTGTCCTGCTGCAAAGAGGAACAGAGACAGGAGGCCATAACTGTAGGAGTCCTGTGGTCTCCAGGAAGGCTATCTTTTCCTTTGAAGACAGGTGCTATTTCAACCTACGTGTATGCTGACAAGGATAATCTGGCAAACATAAAAAGGTAATTAATAACACAGAAAGGAGGAAGAAAGGCATATTAGTAACTGAAGTCCAGCACTGGGCTAGGTGCAAATACAGTTACATTAGTAGAGCAGATGTTTCCTTCCTAATACCCTTGATTTTTCTCATCAGCTTTGGGGTAGAGGGACAGGAGGAGAGAAGTGAAATACTGACATAAAATAGTAGACAGTACAGAGGAGTGCTACTGTCCTTCAAAGTTAGTGGTTCTGGTTGTTTGAATAAGTTTGTGTGAATGTGGTTTGTGTGAATGCTTGGCCCGTAGGGAGTGACACTATTAAGAGGTGTGACCTTGTTTGAGGAAGTATGTCACTGTGGGGGTAGATTTTGAAGTCTCAGATATATGCTTGCTCTCTTTCCATATATATATATCTATATCTCTCTATATATATACAGATATAGATATATATATATATGTCATATAAGTCTACATAAGTCTTAGTTAGTCTTCTTGTGGCTGCCTTTGGATCAAGATATAGAACTCTTGACACCTCTAGCACCATGTCTGCCAGCACACTGCCATGCTTCCTGCCATGATTATAATGGACTAAATCTCTGAAACTGTAAGCCAGCCCCAATTAAATGTTTTCTTTTATAAGAGTTGTTGTGGTCATAGTTACGGCAATGGACACCGTAACTAAGACAGTGATCATGAATTTAAAGGAAGACTCAATGTATTAGTTACTTTTCTGATGTGGTGATAAAGCATCATGACCAAAGCAGCTTAAGGAAACAAGAGTATTTGTATTTTTGGCTTATACAAAAGGACACAAGTACATCATGGCAGGGAGGCATGGCAGCAAGCAGGCTCGTTGGCCAGAACAGAAAGCTGAGAGCTCACATCTTCAAATACTAGCATAAAGCAGAGAGCACAAACAGGAATTGGCAGAAGGCCTTCCTCTCATACTACCTGAAGGCCTTCCTCTCATACTACTTCCTGCGACAAGGTCACTTCCTCTAAGCTTCCCAAACAGTGCCACCAAATGGGCCCCCAGTGTTCAAGTATTTGAGTCTATGGGGGGGGGGGGCATTGTCATTCAAACTACTACATGAAACACACTATTTTTTTTTTCTAGCCCTCAAACTGCTCAGGTATACCAAGGAAGTGGGCAGGGATCACAATGACCACCCTTATCCCAAGCCTTTTCTACTGTGTTCTATACAGATGCTAGTGAACAGAGCATCAAGTTTACTTTTAAAAGATTACATTTTTCTATAGTAGGACCTGATAGCCAATAAAAGGAACTATAAAGAATGCCATAAAAGTTGCATCTAACTATCACACAACTCAGTTTATAGTAAAAATAAGCAAGCTCTAAGACAATGCTCTGGAAGAAAACTTATCTTCTATCTAAATAGTAGATGTTTTTAAGATTATGCCTCACAAATGGGAAGCAAACAATGTCTACAGACATAACAATATTCAAGTTTGGGACGGTGTTACCAGGTAGGCAGACCAAATAAACCATAAACTAGGACCAATAAGGCAGGGTCTAAGTGCCACAATGGTTGTATTCAATGAGGTGACACCTAAAAACAAGTTCAAACAACTTCCTGTACTTCAGATTCTCTACCTGCAAAGGAGTTTATTTATTCTCTTCCCTGACAACAGTTAACAGATACACAGTCAATAGCCTAGTGAATGAGATTTATAAATTTACATTAAGCCAGGAGCCAGAATCCAAAATCAAAGTAGTGTAACAGCAATCCTGTATAAAACCAAAGAAGTTCCACCTAAAAACGAGGCTGAGGAGGGCTGGAATAATAGAGTACTTGCTGCTCCTCTGGAGTACCCAAGTTCAATTCCCAGCACCCATGTGGAGCAGCTCACAATGCCCTCTTCTGACCTCCACAAGCACTTATATAGACAGCACAGAGACCCACACAAACACATAGACATATAAATAAGAAAGGAAAAAGAAATGTCAAAGTATTAAGGGTCTCAAGTAATACACCAAGATGAGCCAGAAAATATTTTAATGACAATAAAACTGGAATGCTTCAAATGTGAAACATGGCATTTTATGTTCATCCATTTTTCTTAAGGTAATTACCTAATTTCAAACTCCACTCATTATAATTAATGTATATATATATATATATATATATATATATTTTTTTTTTTTCATTTTAACCTATAGCAATAGGGTAACTATGTGACAAGACTCTACAGATGTTATCTGTTGGAAAACCTGACCCCTAGGCTCATCTTCAGTAACCTAGCAACAGCGGCATGCTATCATCTGCCAAAATGCAACACATTTCCACTGTGAACACGAGCTGCAGATTCTCTCTCTGTGCATGGCGCTATACCCCCTTATAAAAAGCAAGTGGTTTCTCTTCCTGCTCTTTCCCCTTACCCTTGCTCAGAGGCAGCCTCTGCATACCATCCTCTCTCAATAAACTTCTTGAATGAGATCTGCTGCAAGGTGTTATCTCTTTGCAGCACACCTTGGCTCCAACCTGCCAAGATACTTCTGTCAATAAATTATAACATTACCTAATGTAACGCTAACAATAACTCTGCAAGTAGATGTTCTCATTTTATAGAGAAGCCAAGAATGCTAAATAATGACAGAATTTGACATTAATCCTTATTCATGAAACAGACTTGTGACAAAAAGTTTTATGCAATTTTAAAGACTTTAAATAATTTGTACATATGAATTCAGTTATATACTTGTACTGAATAGGGAATTTAAATACAACCTGCCTTTAGGTTCCATAAATAGTACATAAAAGTGGCAAAGCAGCAGAAATTAATTTCCACGAATATCCTTATTGAAAAAAACATACATATTTAAGTCTATGCCTACGCAGACAATATATCATAGAATGGTGTTTTAAATATTAAGCAATGGGAGAAAATGCTTAGCTGTTAGGAAGAGCACTTGTTGCTCTCCAGAGGATCTGAGTTCAGTTCCTAGCACCCACATGGAGGTTCATAAAGATGGTGACTCAGTTCCAAGGGACCTTCTGACTTCCATGGGCACTGAATGCAGATGGTGCACACAGATACATGAGGTAAAACAACAGTACAAATAAATTAAATAGATCTTTAAAAAGAAATAAATTGAGTAAATCTTTAAAAAGAGTAATCCAAAAACTACAGTGACAGCACTTGCCAAATATGCACAAATCCCTAGGTTCAATCCCTAGAATAAAAAAGTGAGGAGAGGGAGAGAAGGTCACTTCTATTAGAGATGTTAAGATGTTATAACTGGTGCTGAAACATGAGTACTTTAGGTGAGGGCAAAGGAGAAAAAGTACTTTTGGGAAAGGCCAATATGTTTTTCACAGGTCTATAAGGGCCATAAACGAACAAGGAAGTGAAATATCAAATAATTGCTGTCTCTAAGGGCATACAGCTCACTCTTGAATCAGCACCATTTATTGACACAGTAAATGTTTCAATTTGTATCAATGCTCAGCCTGTTGGTATAATGTTCTTTTGGAATGTATACAATTTACCCTTGTTCATTCAAATGCTGATTTCTATATCCCAGTATCTGGTTTCAATCAGGACACTGCATTGTGATGCTTATTCTAAGCACCACCTGTCTCAAGTTTGTGTAAACATGCCACTATTTGTTCTCTACATTGTCAATTAAAAGAACCAACCACAATGCTGGGCAATGGAGAGGATAGGGTAGGACATCCTGGTCTAGAGAGCAGAGGAGAAGGAAGTGAATGGGAAGAGGAGAGGTCTTGGAACCACGTGGAGAGATGGACCAGACCGTAGATATGACTAAAAGCAAGTATAATGGGTATAATCTGAATGATAGGAAACTATGCAGGTTTGGAGGTTATGGAGTAATCATTGCCCAGCATTGTGCTCTAGGTTAATTAAAGAAATCCCAGTCTTTGTGTGGTGATTTGGGTATACAGCTAGTTTAGGAATAACTGCTGCCTAACTAAAAGATATATCAATAATAAATATTATAACCATCAATATCTGTCCCAAAGAAACTGTACCTAAACATATCCTTTTTATTGGCTACTGACTGCTACTGTACTTTATGCTAAAATATACAAGCTTTAACTATTTTCTGATACTATTACTAATAAACTGTATAAGCTTTGAAAAATAAAGTTCATTTCTTATTGCTTATATAAGTCAGCAAAAAATAATCAAAGGAAGAGAAAAAAGATATTTTATAGTATCTATTTAACTGGGAAAATCACAGTAATGATCTCAAATTTAAAAATTGAAATCTCTAGAGATTGTTTGCCTACATCCACAAATGTATAATTTGAAAAGCCTTTTTTTAATATAATTCTTATTTTGGCTCACATACAAAGAAAAGGGTTTCACTGTGACATCTGTCATTATATTTAATCTGTTCTTATTTGACACCCCCTTACCCTCTTATTTGACACGGCTCTCCTTCATTTCCCATCTCTTCCTCTATTGCTCTGTGCTCACATGGTCTTTTCAATATGTGAAATGCCCTGCTGTCTGTGTATCCTAATTTGCTGTCATAGGGACACTGACCAGATGTAATGAGGGCACATCCTCATTGTGTCATTTAACTCAGGCTTCCTTTTAAGGACCTGCCTTCAAATGTACTTTCATTTTAACAAATGGGTATGGGGGAGCACTAAGTACATAGATATTGGGGAGAACAACTCAGCCTAAAACTCCATTAATCAACTTTCATTCTATACTGCCATATCTTCTGGCACTCTCCTGCTTTGTCTCTTAAGAATCTGAGTACTTATTTGAATACTTCTGTTGGTATAATGTTCTTCTGAAATGTATACACTGTACCCTTGTTCATTCAAATGCTGATTCCCCCCACCCACCCACCGACCCCAATTCTCTGGTTTCAATCCGGATATTGCATTGTGATACTTATTCTAAGCATCCTGTCTCAACTTTGTGTAAACAGGCCAAAATAAAGCAACCAGCCACAAGGTTGAGCAATGGAAGGAGCCAGAGGGCAGGAAATGAGTGGGAGAAAGGGTGAGGCAGAGAGAGAGAGGAGAGCAGAAAGGGAGAGAGATCTTGCAACAGCTTGGAGAGAATGAACCAGACCTAATATATCACTAAAAGCAAGTATAATGTGGGAAATCTAAATATTAGTAAACTATGAGGGCTTGGAGGTTTACAATGGAACAACTATTGCTCAGCATTGTGTTCTAGGTTAATTAAATAAATACCAGTGTCTGTGTGGTGATTTGGGTATACAGCTGTTTAGGATTAATAGCAGCTTTACCAGAAGATATATCAATAGTAAATATTAATCACCACTTACAACATACTTCAAATAAGAATGACACAGTAGGGGTGGAGGTGGATCAGGAGTTAACAGCACTGGCTGTTCTTCCAGAAGACCTAGGTTCAACTCCCAGTACCCAAATGGTGGCTCTCAACCATCCATAACTCCAATTCCAGGGGATCTGATGTGCTCTTGTGGCCTCTGCAGGTTCCACACTCATATGTAGTGCAGACATGCATGCAGGCAAAACACTCATAAACTTAAAAAAAAAATCTACAGCATTCGTCTATTTATTCACTATAAACTCATCTCTGCTGTATATGCCAGAATTTTTTTCTAAAGCAGAATAGTCCTTCCTGGTACCTGGCATACCCCACTTGATGACACATTGAAAGACATCTAAATTGCCCATCTTTTGACTATTTGAATAACAATGACATAAGCATAGATTCTACAAACAGAATCTATTTGTACAAAGTTCCAGTTCCCACTTTCAGTTCTGCATGGACATACTCAGGAGTGGGGCTATCCTGAGAATCCTAAAGCAAGCACTGAAGTCTTGCTGTGCTCCAAATATGCCTCCTTATGCCAACTACCTCAAAAAACTAAAATTATCTACTAAAAGCCTGAGGTTCAAATATGCTTCCTCTAGGGTGTGTATCAGGTCATTTGTTATGTATGTGTCTGAGTCTGGAAGAGATATACACCGATGTTACTCAGGTAATTTGTCACCTAAATATTCATAATACACAACATACATAACCCAGACAGTGCTTGCAAAGTTCAAGATGGCATTAACATGGCAAATAAGATATAGAAACTACAGTTATAAAGTGAGTTGTCAGAGTATCACATACATACACACACATTCTCTTTAACACATCAGTTAAGCTACAGAAAAATAAAAACTAGTTTAATATGTTTCTAGAAAATCTGCCATCAGTGCCTTCCTCTTCAGACAGACGCCCATTACCTACCAAGTTACTCTAAAGTAAATTTATGCATTTCTCGTTACAAAAATGAATCCATAATGTACAGAGACATATGAAAATTTAGGTGTATTTATTTTTGAGGACCAGTAAAAGGCAGTAGCAAAGAAAATAACAGTCTAGCTTCAAATCTAATTGGCAGACCTAACCACGAACTTTCCCAAGTGTATCAGATCCATATTCTGGTGGGAATATTAGGCTTACAATCTACATTCGTAAATATTTTATGGCCACTCAGGGTATTTGATGAGAAAATTAATATATTTTTATGTCTGTGATTTTCACAAAAATTAAAGATTCTCTTATTAATTAAAAAACCTGTACCAATAAAACCTGCAAAATCTGTATCAATAGCTTATACAGACAAATGTTCCTTCCTTAGAATTAGAATAAGAAAAACTCAGTGCATATTCAAAAATGTCCAGTTAGAGGAAATTTATTATCATTAGTGTAGGACCATCTTCAAATGTATTATTAGTGCTGAAATGACATTTCACAATGACGTACTATGGGAAACATCACTAGGAATGCTTCAGCATAAGTTGTTTTCATACATAAGATTTTATATATACTTACATACTTGAAAAGTATGCATAAATAAAATGTTTTTCTGCCAAGAAAGAGAATGGCACACTGGTCTCTCTGTAAGTCATTAAACACTTACTACTACAGAAATCTTTGACCCTTTAGGACAGATCCTGGTAACCAAAGCAAGACTCATGAATATCTACCTTCTGCTATTGATGCCTGAACCTGCTGCCATACATGTGAAGGAAGCCAGATAATAAAATCTAGAAGAGCAGACATAGTTCATCCTCTTCTGAACATGTTTCAACACAAAATATCAAACTCCACTTTTACCCGGAAAGCCCTGAAATTCTGGTATTTTCTTTTTATACTGACAGTCACCCACTACAGGTGAATCTAACTTTGAACAGCAGATTTCAATGGGTGTTTTGTAACACCAGGGGTTTCTCTGCTAAGCTTATTACTGCCAGTGAAATTAGAAACCACAACATTTGAATACTATAGATGCCCACTGAATTACTTTTAAGGAGGGAAAGAAGAGACTGGGGGAGAGAGGTAAGAGAATACAAGGGATTTTCCAAAGTGGAAAAAAAGTCCCAAGAATTAACTTCCAAATAAGAACGGCCATCCAATGGCATCTATATCCAGGAAAAAGGGTACAATCTAAGTGCCAACACGCCAGTGCCTCTCCCTGGACCACAAACAGGACACTGCAGCAGAATTCTAGAAGGCAGGCAGGCATCTCCAGCTCAGACACTTTGCATGGCTTTGAGGATGATGTCAGCCTCACGACAGAAAGGTAGCAAGGTATTCAGTCCCTAGGAGCTTTGAGTTTTCCCAGTACAGCCAGTTATAGTTAGGAGTCGGAGAGCAGATCCTCTGTGACTGCAGACTCCTTAGCAATTTTGTTTGTTTTTAAGGTAGTGGCTCTTTCTTAAACTCCCTGTACTAGCTGAATTGTAATTGGCATACTCTTCTTTTACCCCCTACGATGTGGAATCCTTCCAAGTTTTGCCAGGAACGGTTAAATCACTGTATGGCTGAACAGCATTTGATGCACGTTGTTGTTTAAAAACAAAACAAAAAATCCGAACTGTGGCAAAGAACGAAGCAAACATTATTATAAAACCAGATAAAGTTTTCCAAGGAATTCCACCCCTTCGTCTGAAAGTCGATAAACAAGCCCTCTCCGTGTGACGGCAAATACGATTCCAAATTAAGTCAACAAATCCAATGTAACTTCCTAACCAGCGATGAAGAATTTTCCCTTCTAAAAAGTTTGCCCACAGCGGGAGGTGTGGGAAATTTTCTCCTCACTTCCTCCTTTCACTCGGAAGAACTAGCAGGAAAGTTCTTCAAACAGAAAGAAAGTTAAGGCATCAGTTGCCAACAGCAAACAACCCCGCGTGAGGCCAGAGCCAAGCGCGGATTCCCGGGCGCTCGGGCCTCGGCCGCCGGGACCTCTTTGTGGCCGAAGCCGCGCGGTGGCCCGCGGTGGGAACCCTGCATCCCTCCCGCCCCTCCGCGCTCCTGGAGCCTCTCCCGTCCGGTGGCTGCCCGCTCCCGCGCCCGGCGGGGACGCTGGCCGCAGCTCCCTCAGGGCCTCGCCCCGCCGCCCCGTCCACGGCCCCGGCTCACCGCCTTGAGGTCCAGGACGCCGTCCTGCGCCTCCTGCAGCAACGACACGAACTTGGTGGTGAGCAGCCCCAGGCTCTTCTCGTGCCGGCTGCTACCTGCAGCCGCGAGCGCCGCGGGCGGCTGCGAGGATGGCGCCCCAGGCGGCGGCGGCGGAGGCTGGGCCTGGGCCTGCGGCGTGGGCTGGGCAGAGCTCGCGGGCTCCGCCGCCGCC